GCTGTACAATATAGAATAATCATATATTCGTTTCTTCAAGTAGACATTCCCTAACCCCACGTACACAGTCATCTCAGCCTCTTTATTACCAGTTTCTTGTGCGATGACAAGATATTTTTCACTGTAAAATATAACATCATCATATTCTTCTTTCTTCCAGTGGGCATTACCTAACGTTATGTAAGCATTCATCTCAGCCACTTTATCTCCAGGTTCTTGTGCGATGGCAAGACATTTTTCACTGTAAAATATAACATCATCATATTCTTCTTTCTTCCAGTGGGCATTACCTAACAACACGTACGCATTCATCTCGGCCACTTTATCACCAGATTCTTGTGCGATGGCAAGACATTTTTTACTGAATAATATAACATCATCATATTCTTCTTTCTGCAATGTTTCTGTAACATTCCCTAACGTTATGTACGCTGTCATCTCGGGTATGTTATCATCCATCATGGGTTTAATCAAAGCAAAAGTGCAAAAAGAAAAGAGGTTCAAATCACGGTGTTCCATAGCAACTCCAAAGCAATCTCTGTACAAACGGATCACTTGTTCTGCAGTAAGTCCAAGGTCCAAATATGTTGCAGAAGCAGCTGCAAACCAAGCGAGAAACATCATCTCTTCCTTTCTACTAATATTGTTGCTACTTGTGGTGTCACCCGTCATTCTGTTTATTGTGTCTTGCAGCCTTCGTAAGCGTTTATACATCTGGGGATTTACACAATAGGCTCTGAATAGTGTCTGTAATACTGATTAAGGAAGATTAGAAAGCTTGTAATTATTCTAACATGTTTGAGCTAACTTCGATCGCCAACCTCTTGAATATACTTTGGAAGTTTGTTTGACTCCATGCCTTAGTTTTCATGCTTTTTGTCTCGTTTGTGACAAGGTCAAATCATGAATTTGCATTGAGTACTTCACTTATGTCTCACCAATGTTGACTTCATGTCTTACTGAGCTTGAAGGGGGTTCCCCTCGGATACACCTCCGAGACCAGCGAAGCGTCAGTATCCAAATCTGAAAGTCACTCAAAATCCACAACTGGAAAAAGAGAGAAAACTGGTCACTTCAGTCAATTTATTTAAATTAATCATCAAATTTAAAATTTCAACATTCTTTTCCCCTCGCAGCGCAGTTCAAAGTTGAAAGCTGTGCCGGCTTCTCTGAGCAACAGCATCAGTTTTTTACCACTCTTTTCATTGCTACGCGATGATCAAGACAACAGTCAGGACAGGGAAATTGCACAATACACTGCTACCAATCAAAGAAATTGGTCAGTACCTTTATATTCTCTCATTGGTACAACGTGGTAATAGTAAACAGCGTATTGAAAGAGTGAAATGTAAGGTAAAATTTTTCTAGTATGGCAACTGTCTTATTTCGCGACAGTGGAGCAATGAAAGTTATATTACTGATGGTCCAATGGCTCTCAACTATTAATAAATAATATATTAATAAGTCGAAATAATGTTAATAAAAAATATAGAAAAATTAAATGAGATTAATTTTTGCTACATTATGTAGGTTTGGCCTGTATCGAATTAGGTAACAGCATATATTAGTTTATCAAAGTGTGTCAATTTAATGTTTATTATGCCACAGGGAGCCCAATTTAGAATAAAGTGAATGGTGAAAATAAATTCAGAAAAATTGAATAATTATTTTTTAAATTCGAGATCAAGATAATGTCCTCTGTAATGCGAAAGAGCAAAAAAGTCAATGAAAAATGCACTAGAACATTTTTTTCCTCGCGCGCGCCTTTGTTTTCCTATATAATTTCCTTATGGTATCTGATGTTGATCTTATGTATACAATCAATTCAAAAACGTTGTCGTCGACCAACTCAAGCCTACGCGACTGGACCGAAAGGAACTCTGGGTAGTAATCATTGAAGCCGAGTTGACTCCATAGTTTTATCTGACTAGTTATGCCTGGTTTACAGCAGTGAAGGAAGTGTTGAAGAAGACGTTTTTTTAATGCCTTCATATTTTCGGAATTGTGAACTGAATCATAACTACTTTATTTTTCTTTCCCTAAAGCAGAAGACATGCATTTGACGGATTGAATTGTTTCTCGCCATCATTATCTTTACTACTAGCGGGAACAATTAATTCAGAACGAATATTTAACCGCTTCAGTGAATTTTACCCATATTTCTTTCGGTCCAGTCGAGTAGGCTTGAGCCGGTCGACAAGGGAGGAAACTTCAGTCGCCATATTTGAACAAACAACTCACTTTAAACCACGATTTCATCGTCTTTTAAACCTCGAACTCCACAAAAAACTTGATCAAAATGATCCCTACGATGGGGTATTCATTTATTTAAAACTCTTTTGGCTCTTCCTACAAGATTTCTATGAGTGAAATGTTCTATTGCATTTTTTATTGATTTTTTAACTCTTTCCCATAGCGGAGGACATTATCTTAATCTCGAATTTAAAAAAATATTAGTTATTTAATTTTTCCGATTTTATTTTCACCATTCACTTCAATCTTAATTGGGCTCCTTGTAATTATGCAAGATAACTTGGCCAAGAATCGAGGAAAGTATGGCCGCCAAGCATGCGTCGTAACCGACTCTCTACAAGATTCAATATGGCAGCGCTATAAAGAAATGTGTGGGAAAAATAACAAAATATAAGTTTACTTGCATCTGAAGAAGTTTTCCCTTGGTCTGCACGTCTAGGAATGCGTATCAACATGATTTCCGCATCGTGTTGTAAAGTTTATGCTGCTCAAAGCGATAACCATTCCGTCGGCAAAACTCCTCCAAAAAAGACAACTTTGAAGTCTTATAATGATCTGCTAATGCTCTTGAATATTGAAGGTCATCTAATATATTTTCCAAAAAGTATACTGTCTGTTAAAAGAAGGACAGCGTCTGCGGTACGTCCAGCTTCAGAGCTCGATAGATCACCACCATACAGTTTAGATAGAAAAAAGCATTAAACTCGGTCTGCAAAACCTTATTAAAGTTCATGTACTTTAAGCAAGTATCACTTGATATTTTGGCCATGTTTGGGTTCTGAATTTGTTCCAAAAGTCGTCCATTTCCCTTGATTTCTTACCATGTTTTTCAGCTTGCCTTGTCCGCCATCTTGCTTTGCGTTACCGTGAAAGACTGGCTCTAGCATAGATCATTTTATTGGATATACCACAGGTAACCCAAGCTTGGTTTTTGTGGTGTCATGTTATAACAGGGTTCGTGCTACATTTTCGTTACAAAATTCAAGGACTTAAGCACTTTTCAAACACAAAAATTCGATTTTCAAGGACAAAGTTTTTTGCATTAGAACGTGGTTTTAAACATTGATTCAATGTTAAAGTGCAACTAATTCAGCCTGGGCCGCTAGATTAGATAAAAAACAAGCATGACATGCAACCAACCACTAAACAAGCAACCAGAAACTCTTCAATCAATTTTAATCGTTATTTATTTTAAAAGGTAAGTTAGAAATAACATTAAGTTTGCATAAATTCAAGGAGTATTCCAGGAGTTTTGGCGTYTTTCCCTATTCTCAAGGGCTTTTCAAGCGCCCTTAAGAACGTGTTTTCAATTCAAGGACTTTTCAAGGATTCAAGGAGTAGCACGAACCCTGTTATAAGGAAATCAAGAGAAAGGAAATGTATGGGGATTCTTCAAAAATTTCAATAAAATCATTGAAACGTAAAATAAAGCCTCGAAATTTTACCCGATCATTGAGAAATAGCACTTCTTTCGCTCTGTGTGGCTATTTTTTGAATTTAGACAGTTTTAAGATTTTTTCCCCAACCAGTAGGAAATAAAAGAATAAAATTCCCTGAAATTTTTAAAGTGTAATAAATTCTGCAATCATGTCGGATGTACCAATGTTTTCTTCAAAATTCAAGGATAAATTAAGTATTGAATCCCCATCATTGAGCTATGCTGCCAAAGCAATCACAAGGAATATTATTTTTGCAGTCAAAAAATTAAACATAAAAAATAAAAAAAAAATAAAAAATCACTTTATTTAAGTGTCTAGTCGTTCTAGCGCTTTCGCACTAATTAGTCAAGATACCACCCTCTTTAATTAGAGACTAGAGACTAGAAGTTATGCGCCCGCGTATACATCCGCTGAACTGTCCTCGATTCTTGGCCATCGAGATCTTCACAAGACAGCGAGTTCATATGTGTTTCGAAATAAACGAAATTACTTCACGGCTACGTGGATTCAAAACTTTAATCATCTAATCATTTAACATCATCATATTGTTTTACTTTTGCTTGTTCGAAATCTAGAGATAATTGTGATACAAAACGTTACTATCTAAAGAAAAAAGCGACAAATCTAGAAACGGTATAACTTACCGGGTAGCCGGTGTAACTTGACTGAATGAATTTACATTAAGGGGTTTCCGTACTTATATACTTCTACTTATTTATTCAAAAAGCGTGCACTAAGGTCGAGATAAAAGAATCCTATTATTCTATTGTATTCCTTTGTTCCAAAGTATTTTCGTAAACGAAAAGATAGGAGAGTGGAGTTTTGGACCCAAGGTATAATTTCTCTGAGAATTACCTTGAAGGAAACTAAGGGATCAAGAACAAGGGAGTTGTAGGACATCCAAGATGTTTTCTTTTCTCTTCTTTTCTTGTGAAATTAAATCTTGTTTCCTGTCACCATACTTGCATAATATAAAGCGGAAAGACTGTATTTGCATGCCTCGATCAGGTTCGACGACTTCATGCGTTTGAAAATAAAACCACATATGGCCGTACGCAGAAAGCGACAACGGCCCCCTAAAAATTCCTCAAGCCGAGAACCAATGTCGTTTTACATCAAGGGTTGGGAATAACTTGATGACGATATTTATATGATGACTATGTTTTTGTGAAAAGTTTAAAAAAAATCCATATATTGCCGAAAATGCACGATCACACGACAAACCAAGCAAACTACTAGACAAGTGGTACACGACGTCTTTTAAAAAATCTTTAATTCAGTATAAAGTTTAGTACAAAATATCTTGGTATGAAAATAATAAAGGCAAAAACTATGAAAATAAAATCCTTCCCTGAAAAAATACCTGAGCATTTGTCACTTGTACGCAAATTCTATTTTATTTTCATTTTTTWATGTGAGAAACTGTTTCATGTTTCTGCGAACTTGACTACTTTTAAGCGCCTGTTGGAGTCAGTTTCAGCTCCCGTCTAACAAACAGGTTATTGAGTCAGTTAGCTAAAGTTTGGCCCCAAAAAAAACGAACATAGGTAAGTGGAACCCTGTCTACAACATAGAGTCGCAAGACTGTGGGAGCTTAGTCGTACAACTGTTGCGCAGAATTATACCAACTGCGCTACAAAAGTACTTTAGACACCTCTGTATTGCTGTGCACGAAATTGTCGACCTTGGAATTTAGACGGCGTCTGCACTGAGACATTGGTAGTAACTTGGCGTAAAAAACAAACATAGATGAGTGGAACCGTGGCTACATGGAGTCGCAAGAGTGCGGGGGCTTAGTCGCACAACTGTACAAAACTACAAAAGTAAGTTAGACACCTCTGTATTGCTGTGCACGAAATTGTCAACGTTTAGACGGCGTCTGTACTGAGACATTGGTAGTAACTTGGCGTAATGTTTTAGCCGCGCTATTTTTAGCTATAAAATACGATGTCTATTAGTTTGCCCTTGACTGTGATTCTTAGCTCGATATTTGGTACAGACGTTGCTACGTATGACATCCCTTGAAAACTCGGTTGCGCGTAAAAGCTGCACCGTGTGCTTGTGCATTCAAGAAGTGCCGCATGTTGTACCTTGACGCAGCAAGCTCGCCTCGATTTGTACCTTAAAGTTTCACCTTTTCCATCTTTTTCCTTCACGTGCAGTCTATCGACTTATCRCTGTTTTTGGTAGCTATAAAGTTGCACATCGATACTCCTCTACTACGCCATCCAGTGTGCTAAAGGCATCCAGAAATTCATCCTTAAAATTAAAGTCGAGAAATATCCGTAATTAAGTCAAGAACAGAACACGCGTCTAAAAAGACGGTAATGACAATATACTAGGGCCTCACTAAAACCCCTATACAATGTTGATAATTGCAGAGACAACTCTAAAGCATAGTTTCAGTTATCCGTGGTTTTCTTCACAAAAATGTTAGTTTTTGTGAAGAAAACCACGGATTACTAGAGAAACCTTTGTAGTACAGAGGTGCTTACCATTTTACTCAGAAAACCCGGAAATTTCGGCTGAAAAGCAAATGATATGCATCATTCGGATCGGAAAGTTCTGGAAAACTTGGTCTTCTGATTGAGGTAATCCACTTCTCCCGCTCTTTTTGGTTCTTTCGGTAGACGCGTTTATCATTTTTCGAACGTCAAAGTTTCCCGCTCTTTTCTTACCATTAGCGAATGAATTTCTAAACGGATGGTTTGTTTTAAATGGTAAGCACCCCAGGATGCAAGCAAAGTACGTAATACACGTAACATTGAAGGGGAAAAGATATGCAACTATCAAAACGTTTTTGGAGCAAGTTCAGCATTTTTTTCTTACTTTGGTACATCCATGTTTTTCAAACCAATGGACATAAGCTCCAACGTCATACATCGTTCTAGCCTTGGTCATCACATCATCCAAGAACCCCATGATCCTACTCGAGTTTAAGCAGAGCGTAAGAGRTTGAGCATCACGTGACCCAGCAGCACTGTACTGGCCTGAGATACAAAGAAAACAAAAAGTACAGAGAAAAAAAAATTTCTGGTCAACACCTGTCTGGCATCTATCACCAACGTCTTAAGTGCCAACTTGGGAGTTTGCTAGGGAAAGGTGTGTGTTATAAAGAGCAACCGTTAAACAAATATTTACACTCTGGGGAATGACAGGTGGTCTGAAATGGGAATAAGTATTATTAAGAAACTTTAAACCAATGGCCATCAAAAACATTATGACCAAGTTAAAGAGGTCTATCAAGATTTATATTAGCTAGAAACATACTTATCCAGAAATCAAGAGGGAAAGGATTCCATTCCACACATCCAAGTGCGTTTTTCAGTCTCTCTTCTATCTTGGTCACAGAATCTGCAAATGGCTTTTCTCCCGCACCCCTGGCAATTAGCAGTGAATTCAAAGTTGAGAACTGCCTACCATGCTTGTCATAGCGACAAGTAGAGTGTAACAACGACTGAGTTAGGGCCTCCCACGTGACTTTAGCCTTGGACATGTGATGAATGGTGGAGAACTTCTTGGATGGTTCGGGGCACACAGACCTCAACATTTCCCATGGTTCATTGCCAGTGGAAACATCAACTGTTTCACTTAATGAGTCTGAACTCCTAAATGTTGATTGGTTTAGACTTGTATTATCTGGATATGAGGGAAAGCCTGAGGATTTGGATGATATACCTCTGTAGCGCAGTAGAGCAGAAACAGTAGCTCTTGGTTGTTTTTGCATTAAAGACTCAGAACCATCTTCATCATGTACAATGGAACCATCACAAACAAATGAATAGTTTGATAATGTTGAGCTTGAAGACAATCTGTCCCTAGTTTGTACAGGGTTGAGGGAACTTCTCTTTTTGTTGGTAGCTGCACTCCTTTCATTATCACTCAAAGTTGAACTTGTTGAGGAAGTATTTCTTCTAATACTAATTTTGGTTTTATTAGTTGAAGTTTTTCGCAAAATCTTTTTTGGTTTCTGGCCTAGGGGGAGTAGAACACCTGCAAGACTTGCAGCAATCAGCTGGTTCATGTCCTTCAGGGATACATTGCTGCTGGATGATGGATGTCTGGACGATGCAACAGCACCCCTGTGGGCTATGAGGTGACGCAGAACATCATCATTACTGAATACTACAACACAGTCAGCATTCCTAAAAGATAAAGCAGCTTTAACTGTCAATTACAATGATTGGCTGCACTACTTTATGTCTATATAACTATTGTTATCATTCTATTGTTGACATTGTTTTCCTGTCTCCTTGCTGTGTACATTGTAAATCTCCCTGGAAGAGTTTACATATACCTTTCCAAAAATACAGTCGAGTGTTTTTAAGAAAACTATAGCTGATTTTACTTGCAAGCAGCTTTTTCCTTATTGAATGATAGAACAGTTAAAGATTTCAGGGTCTTAAATATCAATCTTGTGATATTGTTTAATCATCCAACCCAAATCTACACCATGGATAGTGTGAGTCACAATTATCTATATCCAAGATAGATAATGGGCCTTTTTCATGTGGCAGTGATGTTGATTTGAACAACAGATTGGACCACAAGTTGGCTTGCATTCAAGTAATATTGAGAATAAATTTATGCTGGGCAAGCAAAAGTTTTTATTCTTATAAGAATACACCAGTCTATCATTAATTCGATAAAGGTCCGAATATCTGAAGCATTTGCTACAGTATTACATGTCCATCTGGCCATATCTTGGGAATGGTCTATTAGATCAATTAACTTCTCAATATCTTGGTGGCATAGCTAATAGAGGGGGATGGTTATGAAACCTATTGTTATAGGTCTTTGCTCACTTTTTCAAGCACGAACGTGCACAATCCTTTGTATTACAATTGTTTTACCATTGTTGGCAATGGCTGATTAAAAATAGAAAAAAGAAAATTCTGACCCCTCCCTTCCCTCCCCCTTAACTAAATGTCTCCATACCTTTGCAAAACAGCAAGACTCAACAAGGAGTTATAATTTTGCAGTGGACTATCCCCTGAAAGATGAGGGGATACAGCTACTGACATCACATGGGCTAGTGGATAAGCATCACGAAGGGCTTCAACAAGATGTGAACCAAGACCTGACCCTGTACCTCCTGTCAAACTGTGCATCACTATAGTACCTGCAAAGCAAAAATAATAATAACAAATATAATGAGAAAAAATAACCGAGGACCAGAACTCAGCAGGGACAGCAAAGTGTAATTTTGATTCAATGGGAGGCGTTAACAATTACTGAAGGTAGAAACCCATGAAAAAGTCTTAAACTGAGAGCCTTGGAAGTGCAATTTCTAGTGTTTTGAGGGGCATTAACAACATATTTATTGCATTGGCTATTCATATTTTAAATAGCAAACAAGTTACCAAGTTCAAAATCCCCTCCCCCCCTATTAAAAAACAAAGACGATAGTTATAAGCCCACTTTTTCTTTCTTCCTTTCATTCATTCATTTATTCATTCATTCATTCATTCATTCCTTCTTTCTTTCTTTCTCTCTCTCTCTCTCTCTTTTCCCTTTTCTTACAACAAAGACAAGCAACACAGTTATTTACCTACCTGCAAAACAATCACATCTTTCAACTTCCTTCCTAACCACGTCCATTGTCCTATGCAAGAGAGATGTCTCTTCCGTCTCTCCTCCAAGGCCATAGTAACCAAGTGCAAAATTATTCCCTCGTCCACTTTGACCAACTACCATGTTTTCTTCCCTGAACAAATTCCCGCGTTTCTTATCACTTCTTAGAGTATTTCCAATTACTTTTGGCTCACTGTCTACACAAACACACCTCAGCTTGCCGTCTCTGTGGCTCAGAGGGTGAGAGACACTGTGGTTGTCAATGAGAGTCATTAGTTCGTGTGATATTTGATTCCCACACTGACCAACTGGCAAAATGATTGAAGACATCTTTGTTATCTTTGAGGCTTTGATTGAAAAAAATAAATTCTAGAGTGCTATTTTGATCTCATGGAGCTTAAGAGTTAAATGATTTAAAAATATCATGATTTTTTGGTTGTAATAATGTGAAAAATAAAATAAACAAGGCTTGTGTAATGTAAGTTTTGAACCGAAACTCCCGCCATCTTGTTCGGCTGGTATCCACCACAGGAAGCCCAAAGCCATTTCTTTACTAGTGCTTGCAAAAAAAGCTTAAAACCTTTATTTTACGGTCAGATAAGTTCAAAGACATAAACAGAAGCACATAAAGTCAAGAAAAACACATTTTCTTATATATTCTTTTAATTCACAAGTACTCTTCTTGGGCTCCCTGTGGTTGGCTGTTCGACCAGCGGTAATTCGCTAAAACTAAACAAGAAATTTTGCAAAGTTTTTCATTTTCTTCCACTCATTTTATTTAATTTTTACGGTGATTTCTTTGAGTTTCTTTGGGTATCAAGTTATTTTTAGTCAATCGAGGATCCGAAGAAAATGATGAGCGACCCTGAAAGTCATTTTGAATTGATTCTTTCTCGAGTTAGAGAACAATTGAACCAGGAACGGCTTCAACTATGGCTGCCTCCTTTCACTGTGGAGGGAGAGAGTAAAGGAAGATATCCCGAGGTAACATATTGCATGCTCCCCATAAGCTAAATTGATTATTAAAAACGCAAACATAATAAGAATGTGATCAAATCATTTTCATTCATGAATTTTAGTTATGGTGTAAATCCTTTTGATACAAACTACGAGAATTTGTTTTTAATTTAATCTAATTCAACAACCAGTACACGTCTGCTTTAAAGTCATTCTTTGCGTGATTTRAGGTATCTATCCATAATCCTAAAACTTAAACTCTTAAACTTGTTTTCCCATTTCAGACCACATGTAATTCTCTTGAATAAGATTCTTTGTTTGAGTTGTATCCATATTCATGTCTCATGCGCAATATTGTTATGTGGTCTGAAATACATTTAGGAAAACATTACTAGTTTTATAACAATAAAGCTAGTGTCATGAATGAGTCATGATTGTAAGAAATATATTTCATTCATTCGTCGTTCATCCACCTATCCATTCAATCATTCATTTACTTAACTCTAGGAGCTTGTATCACGCTTCTCCAAGACACTTGGAATTACTTCCCCTACCATTATTGAAGCCTTTGAACATCTACGACAACATGCACTTGACAAACTAGAGGCAAGAAACCGCTTCAAAGAATCAGGAATAGCAACTCTAAAAGTTCGAGTGGCTGGCAGTCAAATTGGAAAAATAGATATCATTATTGGTCTACAATGTACTGGTGCTGAGTTGATAAAGAAGTAAGTTTTCATATGGTGAGCACGAATTCAGTTGTAAGTAAGATATGCCAGTAAGTTAATTGACCAATGTAAACCAAACAACAACTTTAATTGCAGATGAAGAAACATGTCTCAAACATGGCAGGCCAAGAATAACAACATTAATGCATCACTAGCATATGCTTGTGCAACTGCAACACTATTGTCTGCAGGCAGGAAGAACCTGCTGGCAATTAGTCTTTTTTATGGCTTGCACACATAAAATTTTGATATCCTTGATTTTTCGATTCTGCATCTCTGGTAGATGCTATCATCATCATTTCATTGTGTATACAGACACTTCCATAAAGACTAGGTATTGAATGTACCCAACTGAGCTTGTTTCTTGATACTTGTTTATTTTTTGTGCTAGAATAAGTAGCGAATTCCATGTAGATGTTGATAGACTCAAGTTGATTTGCAATGGTCAAGTCATTAATGAAGGTATGATAATATTAATAGTCGTGTATATTTAAGCTTAGGTTTGTTGGTTCTGTAAATAACTCTCCCAGATTACCCAGGAGTCTCAAGATTTTGGACCTTGTCTCCCAGTTAGCACCCTTAATCTCTCCAATAACATTGAGTTAACATTTTTTTKGGTTCTATATGATCTTTGAACCTGAAAATCTTGAATCCTGTGTAGATCCGCTCATTGTTGTATTACACAGCTAGCCTAACCAGTGCTGTCCTCACAACCCTTTTGTATCTATTCTCTAGAATTGAATACTTCTTGGGTTGGTATCCTTTACCTCATAATTCAGAAATAACATGACAATTCTATACATAATAATTATGCTATGCATTTTGGTAAAATGAAGAAAAGCTGCCCCAGATATAGATGCCCTTTGTTGGACTCAGTCTGCCGTAGTTGGTCAGCATCCAACCATTACTCATATGGCCAACATTTATGGCACAGATCTTGCATTTTACCATATTTAATATGATATGACTGGATTAAGAGTTCTTGGAAGCAAAAAACACTTTCTTTATATGATTATAGCCTTTTTATTAATAAAATGAGACATTTAAGATCATCTTTTTTTAAYTGCTTGAGCTTTCGTGAACATACAAATTTGTTTGTAAATGCATTTGATATCCACCTTAAACTTGCCTTGTGTTTTCATTTCAGATAATACATTAGAGAGCCAATCTGTGAAGAACTCAAATCAAATTTTGGTGATTCAGCTATCAGAGACTGAAGTTGAAGCAAGGAAGAAGCAACAAGAGAATGAGAAGATGACATCTCAGGTCATGCGTACTAGACAAGCTGCAGAGGCACTATCGAAAAGAACTGATGGTAACATGCCAGAATTTTTTCTCATACCAGCAATTGTTTTAGATTTTCTGTTGTACTGTCAATATTTCATGGAGACTGATATAACCATGTGCATTTTTAATAAACCCATGGAATTTTTTGCTTCAACAAAGATCTCAAATACACTGATCCCAGCTTTGCTTAAGGAATGGCTACCAAACATTGGGTAGTTTTCCCAATGGGATATAGAATGTCTGACAAACAAAACTCAAATTCAGAAGGTTTTTACAATTTTTAGCAATCAGTCTCTGTTTAACGTTCCATGCTATATGTCAAAAACACATTTTAGCTTGTCTGACATGGCTACAGTAACTAGGGAGATAAAACAATGAATTGCAAATCAATGCTTTGCCGCTATGGGGAAAATTGCAATGATTCTCTCTTGACAGAATTAAAATCTTCTTGGGTGACATTTAAAAAAATTCTTTTTAGCTGGTAAGAGTGAGAAGATGCAATATTTCTTAGAGATTAATGACCAGGAAGGCCGACCACTCAATCTACCTGAAAATGAGAGAAAGGTACTTCTTTATAAGATATATTATATAATTGTCTTCTACTGCATGATGAAAAACTCTTCAGAAGTGACATCAGCATAGAGTGTACTTTAGTTATCGTATCATATTTTTAAAACTGATGAGAAACATGAGATTGTTGCACGAATTAAGTAAATTTAAATCGGAAATTTCCAAAGTCAAATTTGATATTGACTGTTGTACCTTTTGTAGAGGATAATTCTATTTTAATTTTATTTTACATATATACATATATTTATTTCATTGTTTACATCCATATTTTTATATTAGCATCATGTAATTTTAATTTTTAGTTTAGGTTATTTATAACTTGGAGATATTAGCATGTACTTGCTATCTTGTAATTCAAGTATAAATAAAGTTATTGTATTGTATTGTATTGATTGATTTTTGGATGCATGCTCGCACAAATAAATTAACCAATCAGAGTCCATGTTATATAGTAGCTAATTGTTATATAGGCAGTTTTTTCTATAAGTTACAACCACTACAATTGGAGAAAGATGTGTGTGTGTGTGGGGGGGGGGGGGGGGGGGGGGGGGTGCTAAACATTGCAAATGTTTTCCAAAGAAAAACAATCCAAAAATTGAGAATCCACAAAGCTGAAAAGGAAATTGAAAAAAAAGTAATTTAATATCTGCACTTTTTGATAAAACCACAAAAAAGATTTCATCCAAAAACCTGTATGTTAATGTAAAATTGTCTGAAGATCCAAAAATCCCCAGGGGATGACTCCCTCTTATTATATTTATTACTTAGTGTGGCTCAAACCAAAGTTAGGTTGTATATTTGTGGTTATTTAAAAAGTAGAGAAATTCTTTCCTCAGTGCTGCATTTTCCCTTGCAGGCCTTGGCACTTGCCATGACTTTACATGAGAAAGGAAAGAGCATCCTGAAGCACAAAAACTATGCTGAAGCACTGGTCTATCTGCTTGAAGCTGACAAAGAGTTCAGGTTAGTGCAGCAGAGTGGGTGGGTGAAGTAAATGATAGCACTGCCATTGACTGTTGATTGAATGTTTGTTAGTTAATATATAGCAATAGACGACCCACTGATCAAAACATGGCTGACAAATGACTGATAGAAATTGATGCAACAAGCATAGCAAATTCCAATATTTCTGAATTACTGTACATCTTATCTTCTTGATCATCATCATCATCAACAATGTTGTCAATCATCATGGGTGGCTTAGTGGTTTACTTCTCACCTCACCACTATGGTGTAGGCCCAGGTGTCGAGCCCGGCTCTGACTGGATCATACAGTGTATGTGAATTGAGTTTGTTTCATGTGTCGTTCTCTCCCTTGCCAAGAGGGTTTTCTCTGGGTTCTTTGGTTTCCTCCCTCCATAAAAATCAACATGTGAGTTGAGTGTTGTGTGCTAAAAGTAAAGAATGTAGTGTTAGTGTTGGTGGATGGAACCTCACAGAAGAGCCCTGTACAGGGAGTGGTGCTTGTAAAATATAAGATTTTTTTATGTTTTTATCAACCACACACATATTACATATCTTCATTACTCCTCATTATGTTTCCAAGTTAGTTTACTTAGTGTACTCTGTGAATAGAACAATCACCTTTATCTTCACTATCAGCATCATCAACATCGTGTTTTCTGAACAAACAAATCAATTTTATCAAACTATGTAACAAACTTGACTCTGAGGTTAATCGAAGTCAGGCTATGCATACATGTAACTAACTCAGGCCAACAAGTACATTTTAAACCTCTCCTCTGTCCTCTATAGCCAGTGCAGGGCTGAAATCCTCAATGCTGTTGATAACTATGCCATTCTTTGCTTGGATATTGTATGGTGCTATCTGTGTTTGAAGAGCATCAATGATTTACCAGATGCAGGTAAGCCATGATCACAATTTGAAATCTATAAATTTTGGTGTTTGACATTAATACAAGCCACATCCCTGGGCTACTGCGTCAGCTCTCCCACATCTAAAATGGCAGATGCTTCATCAAATCACAAGTGTTACTTCTTGCCGATAAGCAATGAGATTAGCAGCTGGGGGACGATGAGGCTAATCAAATACATAGTACCAGGAATCCTTGCCAGAATCCAAGATATGGAATCTGCAAGGATTCAGGATTTGTTGCCATCTGACAGGGATTGTGGAGCATCTTAAATAGCAGGAAGGCTCATGGGTGGATTTAACCATGAGGGGCCATGCCCTACTTTATTCCTCTAATGCCAAAGTTTTCCATCCCCCTCATTCTCTGGTTCATGTAGGTTCTTCTAACACCAAAGTTTTCCACTCTAATGCTAAAGTTCCCCCCCCCCCCATCCTCCTTCCGATTCCTCTGTCTGTCCCTGGGGCTTTTCTCATTGGTCATCACATCCATGTTCAATAAACATGAAAGCCATGCAGAGAATGATCAATAGTGTGATAAGTCTTACAATACCCTCTTTGTCCGCCTTGGTTGTTTTTTCCATTTACCTTGACAGAAAAAAGACTTGAAACTTGTCAAGAATGCTTTGAGAAAAGCTATGGAAGAAACCTTGAACGACTGACCGTAGTAAGGGTAGGTTGCTGTAACTTGCCTTTATCCATAAATTATTATAATGACCTTGTATATCTTGCATTGACATTTCAGTGGCAGATCCAGGGGAGGGGTGCAAGGGGGTGCCCACCCCTTCCTGGTTCGACTTTGTGCCCTTACTTCGAAGATAACCAATACAAAATAATGTTTTTTCCCTTTGATTCTAAGGGGTGCACCTTACCCTGAGTTAACTTTGTAAGCAGCACCCTCCCCTGAACAAATTGCTGGATCCACCCCTGCATTTGCTAAAAGCTAAACTATGTTAGTCATGATCATTTTTGATAAACTAAATAAAACAATAGACCTCTTTACCTTGGTGTAATATTTTCCCATTTAAAACCATATGTCATTCCCTTGAGAATAAGATTCTTTGTATACATATAATTCATCATGTGTCTTCTCATGCACTTGCAACCGTTAAACAAATAAATGATACTCTAGAAAATGACACATGGTCTGAAATGGGAAAATATTACGCCAAAGGTAAAGAGGTCTGTTGGTGATTCTGAGTACTCTGTAGTCTCTAATCTAAAATTAATTTGATGTACTATGAACCATAAATTTCTGACATTTTGTTTTCAACATTCTCCTGAAAAAATTTAGTCTCCCTCGCATCCGCTTTTTAGTGTCGGTCGTCACAACCGACACTAAAAACTGATGCGAGGGAGACTAGAAAAAAATGGAAATACTTAATTTTTTAATGGATTTTTTCCAGGGCGGAACTGGACGTGAATTAGCTCTTTTGGTAAGACTGCACGCTCTAAGAGCTGTTTGTGCTTACCATAAAAGACAGTATGATGTTGCCATGAGAACACTGGACAAGGCTGAACAGGAAATAAGGAAGCTGCATGTGGACGATGATCATCTGAGCCAATGTTAGTGGTGACTCCCTGTCTATGTACCTTTGACAAATGATTTGTTAGTTCTATTCAACTAGTTTCCCTAGATCCATGACAAGCATGCTGACACTGCCTACTCTTCAGTAATTAAGGAAAAGAATTCTAAATATTTAAACAGTAGCAAGCCAGAAAGGTGTTCTCTCTAAGGTACATTAAACAAGCATTTTTCTTCGGTTTTGCAGTGGTATCGATGGGTTTTTCTATACGCGAGGCACGTCTTGGGCTACGAGCCTGCGATGGTGATGTTACAATAGCAATCGACTATATAACACGAACTAAGCAGGTTAGTACAATAAGCCTAAAGCGAGATGACGTTTTACCCCCGTCTCTAGACCATAATCCTTTTCACACTGCTTTTGTTCTTTAATTATCACAATTGTTCCTGTATTCTCTAAGGAATTAAAAATTTTAATATGAAAGAATTTTAAAAACTATTATGGTATAGAGTCGGGGGTAAAACGTCATCTCGCTTCAGGCTTATTGCCCATTTCGGAGATGGCGTGACCAAGTGCATCATGTATTGAGGCTACGTGAAAGATAACCTTGACGGTGCGAAATGTAAAAGTAGTAGTATTCTTGGAAAGTTTTGTCTTTGACGTTTTGTTTATAAAATGGTATATTGTTCAGTCTCCAGTCAAAGCAAAACTTCTCAAGAACATTTTTATGTTTCACGCTGTTAAGCTTCGCACGTTGCGCCTCGCTATGATGTACTTGGTCACGACATCTCGGAAATGGGATATTACCTGGTGTCACTTGACGTCATTTCCTGCCCCATGCAGAATGTTCATCAGCCGAATCGCAAGTTTTCAATAGAATTCATTCTGGTTGACAGCACATGGTGATCAGTGTTTGACGACCATATGAAGCGGATAATTAGAGTCAAAGACTTTTATCTGTTGATTATTATTTAATTATTGCATTATGAAAGCAGTTACGAAATCATGTTACGTTCAGGGTACAGAAATTGACGACATTCTTTGAACCAATCACAGCCAAGGGTGGAGTAGCGGTTGTAAACTTACGTCTTACCTCTGTGGTCTCGATTCCTGGACTCGCATCTCAAATGAGTAGAGCTTGTTAGGTCTCTCCATTGATCAAAGGTTTTCATCCCTCCGCAAAATCAATTATGCCAAAATCCATTTAGATCTGTGAGTTAGCCGTGCCCTGACTTTGATCAGCCCAGTGGTTGTTTCAGGGTACGATCTGTGAGTTAGCCATGCCCTGACTTAGATCAGTCCAGAGGTTGTTTTAGGGTTTGATCTGTGAGTTAGCCATGTCCTGACTTCGTTCAGTCCAGAGGTTGTTTCAGGGTTCGATCTGTGAGTTAGCCATGTCCTGACTTAGATCAGCTCAGAGGTTATTCCAGGGTCCGATCTGTGAGTTAGCAGTACCCAGACTTTGATTAGCTCAGAGGTTGTTTCAGGGTTTGATCTGTGAGTGAGCAGTGCCCTGACTTTGATCAGCTCAGAGGTTGTTTCAGGGTTTGATCTGTGAGTGAGNTTGATCTGTGAGTGAGCAGTGCCCTGACTTTGATCAGCTCAGAGGTTGTTTCAGGGTTTGATCTGTGAGTGAGCAGTGCCCTGACTTTGATCAGCCCAGAGGTTGTTTCAGGGTTTCATAAATTTTCAACTCTTCTTACGTCTTCTTAGGAAAGGAAAGAAAGAAGAGAACGAGAACGAAAAGAGCGAAGACGTGAAAGAATGCAAAGGAGACTAGGGAAAACAGCTGATGGCGAATGGTAGGTACCTCCACCTTCTTCCTTTGCTTGCCATACCGTTGTGTTAAGAGGAAACCTCTTTAATTAGAAATAATTCTCTTCAATTCTTAGGGTTAATCTATCACGCCTTGAAGATTTAGTCAGCATGGGATTCCCTCGTCAATCTGCAGCCGAGGTTCTGCGCCAGTCCAACAATAGTATGGACAAAGCTTTACAAGTGAGAAAATTACTACTTTATTATTATTACTTTGACGTAAAAGAACTTGACTGATTCCATAAGTTGGTCCCAGTTCGCTCTCTGTCGAATTTTTCCGCCGCCACTGTAAATGGCTATAACTAGACAAGCTATGACAAAAAGCAAACAAGCCAAAAAAATAGCCCACACAAGGGGAAAAAATGGAGAAAATTCATTATAAATGGAGGGAAAGTGATTCTGTTCCTCATACTATTTCAGTACAGTCGTAGTACTAAAGACCAAATTTCTTCAGGTTCTACAGGATCATCCTGAGCTGCTGGACCTTCCACCCGATAGGTCAGTGAAATACATCTTTTCTTTTATTGAATAGTTTTTATTTTTAATTGAATAGTTTTTGTTTCTGAAAGTTAAATTATTTATTATTCAACTTCTCGTTATTCCATGAGTTATTCTTTATCATGCAGTGTAGTATGAGTGGAAAGAAATTCAGTAATTTTGTACTCGATCTGCATGCGCACCGCATATTCACAACCGCATATTCACAGATCGAATCCCGTAAACAACCTCTGGGCTGATCTAAGTCAGGGCATGGCTAACTCACAGATCGAACCCCGTAAACAACCTCTGGGCTGATCTAAGTAAGGGCACGGCTAACTCAAAGATCGAACCCTGAAACAACCACCCACCTATATGTGCTGATTTAAGTCAAGGCATGGCTACTGAAGTCACAGATTGAGATTAACTGTTTATGTCAGTTTGTGGAAGGACGAAAACCAGAAAACCGGAGAACCCTATTAGGGGATTGGACCAATCTTTCCCTAGTTTCGCCCCACCAATATTGTGATTGTATCAATGGTCGTGTTTAGATCAGTGCCAAAATTTCCCACTCGTCCGTTACACACCATCATTCACCCCAAATATAATACTGTTTTGTTTATAGGCTGGGAGATTTGGCTTTCGACGTCCCAGATGAGTTAGTTGCCCAGGTAAAGTATCTTTAAGCACCCTGAGTATCAGGAAGTCATCCACTGACTGCGGTTGATCCATGCATATCGATCTCTCTCACTTGAATCACCTTTGGGTCCATGTTTATGGGTGTTGTGATCGTGTGACTAAATACCCTTCTTCTAGCTAGCGGGGCCTCCCCCTCACCCAACCTCTGCTTACCCCCTCAGATATACATTTTTCAGTAAAATCAGTAAAATTAAAATTACTCTTACAGTATTGAACGGAGTAACTCGAGAGGACTGCCCTAATTCTTGAATTGCACGTTACGTCATCGCGGTCTCTCGGGGGAGCGTTGGTGCCATTTAACAAAAGATTTCTTATTAGCATCCATTGTTAACGGCACCAAAATAGCCGTCATGCTTCTGTCTTTTGAGTCTCTTGGGAATGCTTGCAACTCATCAATTGCCAACATTATTTTGTAGATATTATCGATGGGGTTCAACATTGAAGCTGCTAAAGAGGCACTCAGACGGTTTGGAGGTAACGGAAGGCGAGCGATCGAAGAGCTGGTTGCTGCAGGAGGAGTGCTACCCTCGAGCTCGAGTTCGTCTTATGGTGAATTTCTCTTAAAAATTAGAACTATTCGCGCTGAATAATTATTAGCCCTATTGCACAACGTCGTTTGGAGCTCGGAAAACCGGGTTTTTCTCCACTTCCCCCTTTCCCCTGGAGCCATGGCGGTACTGTAGTCAGGTTTCTTGTCCTCGGTGTCTACCTTATACTGCATACTATGACATGATAATTGTAATTCAGTAAGAATTCAGCTATTTCAAGGAAAGTTGGTGAATGTTTTGTCACATGGTTGCATACCAAGCCTGAAATGTACTATGGGCGATGTGTGTGAATGCAATCAGCAAAAGGTCACGACAATATAGAATTTACCCAAACTTTGTTTGCGCATTTTTCCGACATATTGCCTTCTTTGCTCACATTATCTTCATAAGAATATAACATTTCAAGCTTAGTAAACAACATGCAAGTGACATCATGCAACATGCAACAAGCAACATGCAACGAAACCTTCACCAACGTTTTATGTAATATCAGTGCATTACAGCATTCGGTAATGCGGCATGTAAGCAGGAAAGGACAAATTAAGAAGCATGGGCGTAGCCCCTCCCCCTCCCCCTCCCCCCGTATTCCGTACGGTACGCTGTAGAAAACTAAACATATATGTTGTCACGGAATATGTTCGAGTTACCGATGTTCTGAAAATGGTTYCCCCCCCCCTCCCTCCCAAGGCAAAATCCTTGCTACGCCCCTAGAAAAAAAGTAAGAAGAGAAGCACGAGCCATAGCGTGGTGACTATACAGAAAAACATTTATTAGTAACAACATTTTTAACTCAAATTTCCTTCCCCAGATGAACAGTCCGGCTCAAGTAGCGAGAACGAGGATCCTGAACTAGAAAAAGCCGTGGAGGAACTGGTACCGGATATTACAAGTGACGAGGATGCGTACCTTGACCTCGCACTTGAAGACGAAGCCGCTGTAGTAGCAGAATATAAAGCTCTACTTTTATCACGTGGTTATGGCATGAAATCCTAATGTGTTTCTCATTCGTTCCACTAGAATAATATCCCCCTTGAGAGCTTCCACGCACAATGTCTAGAGTGACGCTAAGTGATGGGGATGACCTTCGAGGCGGTTGCCCGGGAGAGGGGGGACTCAGGGATAAAAGTATCGGATATGCTCGTCGGGAATTTTCAAGAATACCCCTAGGAGATACCAGAAATTTTTTAAAAAGGGTATGGTTGAACGATTTTTACCCCTAAGAGATACCCTAAAAGATACCAAGAAATGCGGGAATTCTAAATTTCAATTTTAACGCCCAAAAAGATACCAAATCGAAAATACCAAATACCCATAAGAAATACGACGAGCATACCCGATACTTTTACCCCGGAGTGCCCCCCGGGAGCGGTAGCGAGCGGGTAATCTCGTTCATTTATCGTCGCTGGGAGGTGGGTGGGGTGTCGAGCTGGTCTTTTACTTGAAATTCCCAACTGGCTCAAAAAGGGTGATTTCGTATACGGCAGATTATTTATACTCGTCCCAGGCATATGGAGGTTTAAGATGTAATCTCCTGGGACGCATGTAGCATTCCTCTCGAGAAATATAAAAAACGAGTTATATTTTGAGGCATCGTGCGAGGAGCACCCAGTAATAATAGAAATATAAAATGAAAATGAAATGGCAGCCACTGCACAATAAAACTCCACGAATTGGCATAGAAACCAAGAAAAGTAAATGTAAAAGATAACAATTACACCATAATAGATATAAAACCAATAGGAAACAATCCCTGGCTTCCTATGTACCTGGCCACACTAGATTCTTTCAAAATATATAGATATCTAAGGGACCGTTCATTTTTTACGGGGGTGGGGAAGTTTTTGGGATTTAGGGGGACACGTAATAAAATATTGTATTTAAGGTGACTGGCTACTTTTGGAAAAAAAA